TGTTAGCGTCACCATAGGCCAGGATTTGCACTGATTTATTATATATACTGCACCAGTGGTTGTGATTTGTGACATACATCCAAAAATGTTATGTGCATTTAAAATTATACAGTTGTACAGTCGTTTAAAAAAATCACTGGGCTCCTCTATTCAACGAATTTCAATTATTTGATTTTTATTCAAAACCCTGAATGCCCTAATATATTCAAAAAAAAAATTAATTATTTAAACTTTATTTTATTGGCTCTTAATTGCTATTAATTATTGCATAATTTTGAAAATTAATAATTTTTTGTTTAGATCGTAAAATTATTTTGCGAAAACCACTTATACGATTTTTTGTGTAGTGGTTTTTTATACTTCGATTCTGTGTAAATCTTAGAGGTTCTCTGTGGCTTTAAAATACCTGAACAATATTATTGAAAAACATTGATTTATCAACTGTTTTATTGATTTCTGCTAATTTTGCAATAATTATAATAAATTTTTCTTGTTTGTCATACTTCTTTTCTGTTAAAAATTAAGAGAGTTTTTGAAAATCATCTTCATTATGGGCTACAATAATAATATCGTCTGTATAAAACAGTATTTTCACATCCATATTCCTAATTTTATATATTTTTTACACACTTCCATTATTATCTCATCCATAACGATATTAAATAGTAATAGGCAATCACCTTTTCTGAGACCACTGTATACTTTAATGTATTTTGTAAATTCGATAACAGCCTCCAGCTGACTTGTATGGGTTTACGAAACACAGGACTCCTGTGAGTTCAAATATGAGATGTGTAACTTGAGATCTGAATCAATAGTATAGAAATTAGACGAAACATTTTTCAGTTATACTATCTATCAATATATCTTTTCCTCTTCCTTATAGACTTTTAAGAAACAGGGTTATTATATGAAAAAAAATTTCTATTGTAAAATAATATTTATTATTATAAAGTAAGAAACATACATATCTGTAAAAATCTATTAAATGTCGAAAAATACCTATTGTAAATAGACTGAATGTATTGATTTGTCTTTTCTTCTTTAGAAGAACTACTGTAAAAAAATGAATGTTTTATACCCCTATTAGGTGTGTATACTGTCTTTAATATGTATACAAACGATCTGAAATAAAAAATGCTATGATCTCACCTCTTGTATTTTTTTTTTTATTTATATTAAGAATTATGAAGGTAAGTTAAATTTGCCACTATGAGAAATAATAGGGTATGCAGATTAATTTTTCGAAAAATCTGAGTTATTCAGATAAGGCAGTACGTTCAGGGAATGAACGAAAGTTGAATAGCCAAATAAGATATTCAATAAATACCTTAGTTTAAAAGAGAGTGGACTCCTAGATAAATACACCAGGAAAGAGGATTAGTTAATTTAGGTAACAGAAAGAGAAATGGTATTTCGGAATCGAAAAATCTGGAATGATATAATCCCAGATAATTTTAATGACAGAAAGGTAAGTTAAAAACATTTATTTTTTATCTTATTCTGTTTAGAAATATACATTAGAGAAAATTTCACCAACAAATATTTACGACCAAAATATTGTCAAGAAATCTGACAGATTTACTCACTTACTGTATTTAGATTCAGAGTTTAGATAAAAAAAGAAAACAACATCGAAATAATATAGATTCTAATATTGAAATCTAAAAGTTATGGTTTTGTATTGTTTATAATATACAATAAGCGTTCGAGTAGAAAACTTCAAGTAGGAACAGCAATCAGGCTGTTATGTCACTCAATTTGCTGACGATACCACAGTTGCACTAAATTCCAATATTTTTTTTCATGTAATACAAAAAGCAAACTGTCTTGTAAAAAGTATGACTCATTACTGTTTAAATAATTCCCTACTCTTTAATGGATCAAAGACCAATATGGTAACCTTTTCACCTTCTACTATGCAGATGAGTCCATTAGTAAAACTTGACAATGGGTCTGTGGTAAATAGCCACTCCGCTAAGTTGTTAGGTCTTTACATGGATTCTAATTTGTCTTGTAGTTCTCACGTTGATTATGTAGTGGGAAGATTGTCTGTGCACTGTTATGTTCTATGGCAACTTATTATTTTGCTCATGTACAGTCAATTTTGCAATATTGCTTAGTTTGTTGGGGAAGTTGCTCGCAAATTAATGAGGTGCTCGTTCTTAAAAAAAAAATTATTCGTACTATGACGTTAAGAAGGCGCTTGGATTCCTGTAGACCAGTTTTTAAACAATTAAATATTTTAACTGTAATTTCGTTGTATATTTTCATTTGTGTTGTTTATGTAAAGCCACATAGATGCAATTTTATTTGCGGAAATGATGTTTCCTTAATGAGTGGCTACAATTTTCGTTACAGAAATGATTTGGTGACTCCTGTTAATCACTTGACCGTTGTGTGCAAGGATCCTTACTCAATATACGTTTGTTTATATAATAAATTACCTAATTATGTTAAAGAGTCAAATATTTATGTCAATATAAGGTTGAATGTTCGAATAATTAAACTTTGAGGGTATACAAGGCAACTATCGAAAACGGTGATTAATTTAATCTTGCCCAAGTACTTTCGATCAATAGATCATCTTCAGGGGCATTTCGTCAATTGTGGCCTATCCGACATAGTAGAATGTCATAAATGTAAAATTTGGACATAACAATACAAAATACAATACACTAAGACAAACAAACACTTTAAAATTTATATGGAGAAGCTACATATTGTATAGAAGCCGGAGACAGAATGGGCTCCCGGTCTGACGGAAATGTGGAGATGACATGTAGGTCACTTTCAAAGTTTCTAATATAATAGTATAAAGTTTTTAAAGTGTTAAACCAATGTTTGTTTATTTTTTTCGAGATTTTTATACATACCATTTCAATCTAATGGCCGAAATCTCAAATTTGTAAGTTAAATCTTAAAGTAAATATAATGTAACTCATCATAAACGTTTTAGCTATCACTGATGATGGTATAAAGCATACCGAAATATAAAGGTTAATCGTCAAACGGGCCAAAGGAAACACAATGGGAAATTCCAAATTGTGGAATTCCTGATTCCCTAATTATTTTACACCAAAACTCAATAAAAACTGTTTGTAGAGGACTGAAATATGTATCGAAAACAAAAAATGGTAAAATTGATCTAGGAATTAAACGTATTCCAAAATTTTGCAAAAATATAATACATTTTTTAGGCCACCCCTAAATTTAGGTCATACGAGGTGCAATGTTGCGTTTGGCCATATTGATGTTTCTGTATTTTGTGATTTATTGTTTAAAAAACCATACAGTTTATTAAAAAATGTATTCGGTTAAGGAGAAAGTTGAGGAGAATGTTTTATTCAGGCAATATTGCGCGAATTATCAGTTGTTTATTTATCGTAAGATATCCCAATAGACCAATTGTCATTCAACAATTTAAAGGATTTTATAAAATTTTGAGAATACTGGAACCGTGATTTCCAATTATTGTACCTGTACAAACAACATTGCTGAGGTACCAAGAAATTTAGAAAATCAAAACGAACTAGATGTATTAACAGCAGTTGTAGAAAATCTTAGAATAAGTTCTCGAACCATTGCCGGCCAGTTTAATATTCATAATTCTGCGGCCTTAAAAAATTTAAAAAGGAATAAATTCCGTTCATATAAATTTCAATGTCATCAAGAACTAAGAGAATGAGATGCTGAGCGACGAGAGGAATTTTGTTGAAATGAAATTTGAGAGAGAGCTAATGCAGACAGATCATTTTAAAAAAACATTTTGTAGCCATACCCAATATCGCCAAAAAATGTCTAGTTAGAAATATTTGGACACAATATTAATATTGGACCATTTTTCTATGATGAAAATTTAAATTCAAAAAGTTTTTAGACTTGCTACAAAAAGAGATTTTGTATTATATTGTGTATTGTATTGTGTATTATATCAAAATCAAAAATCTATTCTGACCAAAAATTGGCAGATATTGGTGCATTAAAAATGCGAATTATTGAATAGTGTGCAAAAATAACGCCACGCGTTCTAGCTAATGTTAGACAAGAATTTTGCAATCGAGTGGGATACTGCTTAGTAAAAAATGGCTCATTATTTGAACATTTATTATAGTTTTATGTTTAGAAATTATCATAAATTATTTTTAGAAAGGATCACAGTAAAACAATATTAAAATTCTTTGAATTGTTGTAAAATCTGTAATTGAATTGAGTATATTATAATATCTTACGTTAAATAAAGATCTGGCAATGTTCGCACTATTGCCTGAATACATTATTGCAATTTTTCGTGAACTGTGTACATTTCATCAACTTTATTGCTTTGTAAACAATACTATTTATTGTTTACTATTGTACTAAAAAATCACTAAAAAATATTTTGCATATTTTAAACATACTGAGAATATATTTTTTTCTTCAAGTTAATAAGCCTAAATCCTCCAAGATCAAGATCATTTTCGTAAAAATCTTAATGGATCAGGCTTTCTATGTCATCTTTTTATAACCTTTATACCTCTACAAGTTTAAAGACCTTGGTTTTTATTGTTCCTTTGCCTCGTCTCTTTTTCCCACATAACGAGAATGGAAAACTAATGGTAAATATATTCTTTTTTAGCTTTCCAATACATAACTTAACAATTTGGAAAACCTCCCTCTCAGCAGTCACCCGGATTAGGAAAACAGATTAAGTTGGGGCTGGTTTTTTGTTTTTTTCTTCTGATTCCAAGGGTTGAAGTTGGAGTTCCTTTTTTTCCTCTGGTACTTTTGCTCAACATCCCAAAGAAAACCTCTGCAAGCCGACACTAAAGCTGCCGCCACATCGTTGTTGTGAACTATCTATCAATTTATTTATTTTTTTACAGTATTGCATTTATTGTTTTTTTCACGTATTTATAAATTTTAAATTTACTATATTTGCAATACACTTAGTTAATATCATAAATTGAGTAAATTCAAATAAAAAGATAGCACATAAATAATATAAATAAAAAGACCGATCTTACTATTAAAACATGTATTTCATTTTATAAACGAACATAAAAAATAAAAAACCTATTATAAACATCTACAAATTTGCTTGAAAAACATAATATAAAAATGTTGTTAACTTTTTCTCTTCCCTTTTACTTTTTTGTCCTCATCAGTGATTATTCTTTTGAACAAAACTACTTTTTCTGAATCTAGCACTTTATCTTCAAATTCTTTGTTGTCCCAAGAAAAGCATTTAAGATTATCAAAATATCTTTCATTTTCCTTCGCACAGATCTTGTCTAACAAGACTTTAGATAAATTAGGAACTATAGGTTGTAGAAGAATACCAGAAACCCTTAAAGTTTCCAAAGCTAGATGAATAACCACATTTAGTGTCTCTTGAGCTTCCTGGTTTTTCTTGAGCTCCCATGGTTTAAGCGTTTCAAAGAAAAGATTTGCGGTATGAAGTGTCGCAATGATAGAATCTATAGCTTTATAGTAATTGAAGTTTTCGTAATGAACTTGACAAACGTCTGAAACAAAAAAAAAAACAGACTAAATTATTTTTTCTAAAAAAATTTATAATATTCTACTCTCCAAAACTAACGCAACACCTTAAATGAACCATAATTTTTAAGCTATTTTTCTTTTAAATTATTGATTTGATTTCGATTATTCTATTCGCATTGAAGCTATATTTTTAAATAATTATTGTATTAATGTTTTCTGAGAAATGTCAACGTTTTGGCTATATACGTGGTGTAAAAATAAAGTTGGGTTTTTTCATCTTATTTTGCAAAACCCTTTAGAATTTATTAGAAAAAAACCTTAAATCTTTATAATATTTCGAGATAGCTCCATCTTTTCTCCACATTTTCGTAACAAAATTATCTCGATATCTCTATTATAAAAAAAGAAAAGTACATTCAAAGGATAATGTGATTTTTCTGCTTTCCAAAATTGACGCACTACCTCAACTGTACTATAATTTTTAATCTATTTTTCTTTTTTTGACATTGTAGCATACAATACCAATCTTCAAGGAGAAAGATTATTCATTAATCCATACATTATATACAGATATTAGTTAATATGTATTGTTTAATTTTTATTAACTAATCTCAATACTTAGGAATAAGCGCACTGACAGTAAAATCATAAATATAGTGCAAACATTATATTGGAACCAAAATGTCATAGTTCCAATTGATGGTCCACACTCAGAAGAAATGAAGATATGTAGAGGGGTTAGACAGGGATGTGTTATATTGCCACTTTTGTTTAACTTATATTCTGAATAAATTTTCCAAAACACGCTCAATAATATTAAAGCGGGAGTTACCGTTAACGGAAAATTAATTAACAACTTACAATATGCAGACGACATTGTAATCATAGCAATGAGTATAGAAGATCTACATCTTATCGAAAGCTTATTATGTATGAATAGTGCTGAGATGGAAATTACTATAAACACTAAAAACGAAGTACCGTTCGCGTCATAAAACTGGTACAACTCTCACCGACAATCTCAAGTTGTGTTTCAAGTTGATCTTATCACATATGTCATTCTAATTTCTAGGTCACGTTGCCAGTTCAACGAAAGTATTGTCAAATCAGCTAAAAGGAGGGCTGTTTGACAGAACATTATAAAATTACAGTATTGCATTCCAATGTTCCCTGTGCCAATACCCTACGTTTAAAGATCCTTTAAACATTTTGGGTATTAACTCAACCCTCTCTCTGGTTATTAAATACGGTATATAAATAAGGTCTTTTGTTTTTAATGATAATAATACCTATATAAAAACTAAACATTTTTGAACGTTCTTTTTTATTTAGATTTAGTGCAATTCCGTTATCTGTGAAGGCAATAACGAAAACTGATTCACGAACCATTGTGTCAAGCCTAAATACAGGTTTACATTGGGAAAAAAAGTGTACCAGTTTCATATGACAGGAACTATACATGCTAATTATAAAAAGACCACAAAATATACATCACCTATTGACAATCAATGGTAACGTGATAGAACAGGTAGGAAAATATCAGTACTTGGGAACTTTGATCAATGAAACCAATGATCATACTGCAGAAATAAACAGGCGAATAGAGATTGCCAGATCAGCATTTATAGGAATGAAGTCACTCCTAACGTGCAAAAATCGCAATTTGGAGATCAGACTAGCTACCATTCGCTATTATATATTTTTAATATTATTATATAGCTTTATAGTAATTGAAGTTTTCGTAATTAACTTAACAAACATCTCAAACAAAAAAAACAGATTAAATTATTTTTTCTAAAAAAATTATAATATTTTACTCTCTAAAACTAACGCAACACCTTAAATGAACCATCATTTTTAAGCTATTTTTCTTTTAAATTATTGATTGGATTGTGATTATGGACATTAAAAAAAAGCAATTTAAAAGGAATCGAGGCTCTTGAACTCTGCTTATACCGCAGAGTATTAATATCATGGACTGATAGAATTACAAATAAAGAAGTACTGGAAAGGGTTGGTAAAGAAACAGAACTAATGACCACTATACAAACCAAAAAATGCAATGCATTCAAAATTCTATGCAATTTTGAGACTCATAATACAGCGAAAGATTCAAAGGAGAAGATCTGTTGGCCGAAGGCAAAACTCATGGTTGAACAATCTACGTGATTGGTATCAATGCAAATCAATTAGTTTAGAGCAGACAGTTTAAAAATAAAAATAGCCATTATGATTGCCAACCTCGGTAGGGAGACGGCACTTTAAGAAGAAGAATTGTTAAATTTTCAGTTGCTATATAAAAAACAATTATTTAAAAGCTGCAATATTTTTCTTGCCTTAAAAATGAAATGTACATCATACGTAGTAATAAATGTAGCTAAACATTCAGAAAATGAAAACACCAAATTCAAAAAGACATGACGACTGATTTTTTAACAGAATTCCCATACAAGATAATTTATTTAAAAAATTACCTTTACTCGATTTACAGTAAGCTGTATTTGCAAATTTTTTTAGTCTTAATTCCTTTCTTTTAAAATTTTCGAAACTTATTTAATGAAACTTCAATACAAGACATAGACAATAAATACAGAGAATTTAAGCTTGATACTGAAGTGTCCAATTTACTTGTATCTTGGAGTGGGAGTAATTTATCACCTGATGTACATATAATGTTTTGGGTTTAAGTATCTAGACTAATTAATACCGATGGAACTACCAAATATAGTAAATTAAGCACATTTGCTAAACATATGCTGTCTCTTCCAGTACCTAATGTTAAATATGAACGAATCTTTTCGGATATTAACAGAATTAAAACCAAGGACGGGAATAGGTTTGAGAATTAAAATGTTTCTCTAATTATACATGCCAAGGAGGGTTTGTGAGAAGTAGAGGATTGTACTAACTTCATCACTAATCTCAGTATAGTAAAATCAGTGGAAGATTCAAAATTGTATAGACATATAACCATAATTATAAAGAAAAAAGAGCTTGAGTAGTTACGCCTAATATTTAAGAAAATAGTAAACTTTTTTAAAAAAAGATTCCAATGGAGGAAATTGTCATGATTTCTGGTTTCTTAGTAAAAATATGTATGAAAAGAAAAACGGAAAATGTGTAATAAACATTTACGAGATCTATGATCTATAATACCAATTTAACATTTAAATCGCGTATTTGTAATAGAGGGCGCTACTCTTAATTCTCACGTCAGATAATATTAAAGTATAAACCATTTTTAAACCAAACACAGATGATCCCAGACATATAACTATAAACGGCAGTGAGATAGAACAAATCCAGGAATATATCTACCTAGGCCAAATCCTGAGACTTGACAAAGAGAACCAAAGTGCGAAAATTACTAGAAGAGCAAGACTAGCATGGGCAGGATTTGGAAAACTTAATTGGATACTTAAGAAACGCAAAATACCCCAATACTTGAGGAGCAAAGTGTTCAACCAATGTATCCCTCCTATCATGACATATGGATGTCAAACCTGAACCCTAACCAAGGCAAACATGAATAAACTAGCCACAACAGAAAGAACAATGGAAAGAGCAATGTTAGGTACACGACTGTCAGATAAAAAGAGGAATGACTGGGGAAGATCCAAAACAAAAGTCGAGTACATAACAATAAAAATTGCCAAGCTTAAATGGAGCTTCGCAGACCACACTGGTAGACAGAAAGACCAACGTTGGAATACTACAATACAACATTGGAGACTTACGAAAGTAAACGACCAAGAGGAAGACCACAGATGAGATGGGTTGATGACATTAAAAGAATATATATATATATATATATATTATATATATATATATATATATATATCCCGTTTATAGCGTAATCCGCCTTTGGGTTCCCGTTCGCCAAGCCTGTCTATTCTGACAGTCTTCTTCAAATAGATTTCTTGCTGACATGGCTTTTAAAATTCCTTGCATCCATGTTGTTGGTGGTCGTCCTCGTTTTCTTTTCTCTGGTGGTACCCATTCTAATATTTTTTTTGGTAGTCTTTCTTCCCCCATACGTCTAACATGTCCGTACCATGTCAGTTGTCGTTTTTGTCATTAAAAGAATAGCCGGAACAAATTAGAAATATGTTGCTCAGGATAGAGACCGATGGAAGGAGTTTGGAGAGGCCTATGTCCAAACATGGACGACAGAAGGCTAAGAAGAAGAAGAAACCATTTTTTGCAATGGCTCATGCTATAGTAGTATCATTTGTTTTTAGTAGATTTTCGACTTGGTAGTTGGTTTCACTAAAAAATATATGGTCACACTAATTGTCTATTTGTAAGTAATGGCTGTATTAGTACTTTCTGGAAAATGTCAAGTTTTACCCATATATGGAGTGTAAGAATAAAGTTTTGTTTTTTATCTTATTTTGCAACACCCTGTGGAATTTATTAGGAATAACCGCTATATCTTGTTAGTATTGCGAGACAGCTTCATCTTTTTCAACATCATAAAAAATAATTTCCATATCTTTATTATCAAAAAAGAAAAGTACATTTAAAGCATTACTCATTAGTTGGCAATGAAAAATGAAACAATTTGACAGAACAGTTTTAGACTGACAGTATTGTTTACAATTCAATAAATTTAAAAAGAAAATGAATTCCTGTAGCTGACTCTATTCCATGAATTACAAAAATTTTAATTTAAAACAATCCTTTATAAAAGGTATAATAATATAAAAACCCTGTCGGGCTACATCAGAGACCGTTTATGGAATGACTATTACATCATCAGTGCTTTCTAGGTTTACTTGTTTGAAGCCACTAAATACATGGGTACAAACCCTTTAAATACAGTGAAATTAATTTTAAATTACATTTTTGATGATAAAATGTTATTCTCACTGCAGGATAAACCACATAACGTAGTTCATCAAACTCACATGTGTACATATATTAAAATTAGAATAAAACATTGATAATAGGTTTTGATAAACAGTCAAAAAGTGGCCACAAATATTTTTAATCCAATTAAGAGTAATTAGTTTTTGACAAA